GGGCTCTGAAGTATCTACAGGTACGTGCAAACACACATGGGTGTAGGCACATACATTCATTGAAGACACAAATACAGATACTCCTCAGACATAACCAAAGACCTTCCAACATTGATTTTCTGGGTTTGAAGGCTTAGGACCATAGTCTCACGGGACAACTCAGTCAACTGACATAACATAGCTCACAAAAATCATGATCTGCATCCTAGTAAAATGAGTAGCATCTGGGGTCTTAAAAGCTTATAAGCGGCCATGTAAGACACAACTAAGGGTCTCTACTCACCAGAAGCAACACAGTAAGACGGTAACCAAAAGCTCAGAGAAGAAACAAGTTTACACGAGCCACAACCTCATCTACCCTGAGACCAGAAGAACCAGATGGTGCCCAGCTACCACCACTGACAGTTCTGACCCAGTCCACAACAGTTGGTCCCAGACAGAATGGGAGAAAAATATGGAGAACTCAAATTCTTATTTTAAAAAAGTCAGACCAACTGGTACAATAGAAAACAGAGGACTCCCTGAGATTACTGCCCTGAGATACTCTTAAACCTAGAACTGAGCCTATCCCAAGATTACCTTTCAGCGCAATAGCAGAGTGGCAGACAAAATAAAGGATACTACCTGTAAGATCAGTGCCCTATATAAAAACCATCAGTATGAGGCCAAAAGGTCAACAGCTAGTTGAAAGCAAAGATGAGACGATAGGGCGCAGGGAAACTAGAGTACCAAAAAGGGAACAAACTGACAAACTGTGATAAATGTAACTAATATCAATGAACAAGTTGTGTGGAAACTGTCAAATGGGAACCTAACTTGCTGCGTAAACTTTCATCAAAAACTCAGTAACATATTATTTAAAAACAAAACAAACAAGCATTAAAGTTATACTGACATTCAATTAGACAATATTCTGTATCTTATATACTTAGAAATGACGGACTTAAACGTCTACTGTGCTACGTACTCTATAAAGTCGTGCGTGTAAGATACACAATTTGGGTCCACAATGTACAGGAAGGGAAAAAAAAGAAAAGAAAAAAGGTACTACAAAGCATTACCTACCAACTGAAGAGAAAAATATCTTCATAATTTTTCTTCCAGGACATTATTACTTCTAAGATACCATGTAACAACTCTTCATCATCTATGCTTTTGGTTTGCAGAGAAGAATTGAAAATGGCAAAATATCCAAAACCTCCTGAAGTAAAATTCAAAGTAAAAATTACAAATAAGTAAAAAAAAATACATATTGCTACTATAAAAAGGAAACTCTTGTACTTTGAGAAGTGCTCAGGTTAAGAACTCTACAAAGGGCTTATATGAAAGAATCAGTAAACGAGCTTATAAACTCCACCGGGCAGAGACCTATCAGCGTGACCAGTACCTAGCACAGTATAGGATTTTTTCTTTCGTTCTTATTTTTTAATAAATAGTATTGTGCTTTACACCACCCATGCTGTTTTTGTCTTAGTTTAAGTACAGGACTTATACAGCAAACCCATCTCTCAAATAAAAACAAAACAACCACAGCTGTAGAGTGCAAAGTTAATTAAGGACGTAAAATAGAACATACAGATCCATAACTCATATATTCATTTAATATGCATCTACTGGGTCCAGAAAGCTCTTATGGGTCCCCACTCTTTAAAATCCCTGGTCATTCTTTGTTTATTGATTTACTATTACCTCCTCAATTAGATGAGGGTAGGAACCTTGTCTGTTTTATCCACCACTGTATAATCCTAGCACAATGCCTGCGAGACAGAGAAAATTATTGACTGGCTACATGAAGAATAAATGAATGCATGCCAGATAGCCTGCTAGATGCTGGGGAGAGAAAGATGAGCAAAATCTAGTCTCTGACCTGAAAGGGACTCATCTAACCATGTGGATGACTTAAAAACAAATCAGAATATACAACGGGGCGCCCAGAACAGGAAGCAACTGTCTCCATCTAGGTGAGTCAGGACTGGCTTCCTGAAGTTGGTGTCTGAATCTGGATTTAGAGTTTGCAAGACTAGCAAAGGGGCACAGCAGAGAGTGCCAAGGCACTGATTTGTAAAAACGTATGGTATGTTCGAAAATCACGACAGCTTACGGAGTCCCTGGATGGCGCAAACATTTAAGCACTCGACTACTAACTGATAGGTTGGCAGTTTGAACCCACCCAGAGGTGCCTAGGAAGACAGGCCTGGAATCTGTTTCTGTAAGGTCATAGCCTTGAAAATTCTATGGAGCAGTTCTACGTTGCACACATGGAGTCACCACGAGTCAGAATCGAGTTGACAGCAATAACAAGATATATATACAACAAAAAATCATGACAAGTTAGTACGGCCAGGTACAAGGTAGAAGCAGCAGAAGGTAAAACTGGAGACACCAGTTGCAATATAATCATAAAATGTCTTAGATGCTAAACTAAGAACTTTGGATATTATGTTGCAGGCAAGTGGGAGCCGAGGAAGGAAGTGAAGGTTTTTGTTTTTTTTTACCGAAAGGTAACCCTCATGGCAAAACAGAAGAGACTCAAGTATAGTCAGAAACCAATGACTTTCAGCAACAGCTAAAAGTGTTTAGCTAATTGTTTCACCCCTTTGGCTAACAGTGCAAAACTGGTTGTCAAATTTCAAAAGGATTTTGTCCCCCTTCGCGTCTTCGTCCTGCCGGGCTCGGTGCAGCTGTGCACACCCTGGTCTGTGTGGACAGCACCGCGTGGAGTTGGGTACAACACAGCCCTTCTCCCACTCTGCCCTCCTTGACCTACAGTCTACGCTGGAGAAATCAACTGCACTCCCATCACGTACTTCTTCTCCTCTAGGCAGGCAGTTCAACTCAGTCCCTATTCCAAAACTGCAAATCCCAACCTAATACCCCCGCCTAACTCTGCAAGTGAAGTCAGCGGTGACGCTCAGTGCCGCACGCATTTACCATCGGCCAGGTGCACAGCGCCATCTGGCAAGTTTTATGTTAATAGGCACATGCCTCTTCTACTGTGCCGAACTCTCACCACTCTTAAAGCCCACCATCCAGCTTCAACTCTTTGAATGGCCTAACCTATTTCACAGAGGAAATGAAGCTTCCCAACCCTCTCTACACATCTGCACCCATCCTTGCATCCTTCCTTACCTTCTCTCAGAAAAGTCCCTCCTCCTATTCAAGGTAATTTCCAATATGCTGTAGGTTCTAGCCTATCTGCCCTCCTCTCGTGTCTTCTCAATGGACACCTCCTTCACCGATCATTCCGTCTCTCCTCTATCTTCATCCCTCCTTCTCCCCTATGTCCTCCTCTCAACATACGCATTTTCCCTTTGACCCAGTATGTTTCCAGCGTTCACTCTCCTACTTAATAATGGGTCAATGGCTCCTTACTGCCTATAGCTTAAAGTCCAAAATCCTTAACCTACAAAACTAGGCCTTCATGATTTGGTCCCTACCATTTCCCAGAATTCATCTTCTGGTGCACCCAAACACCCTCTGCCCCCAACTTTCTACCTTAAATGCCAGACAAACTCAACTACATGCACCCTTACACGCTTTTAAGTGTATATGATTTTCAGTGTCCAAAATGCCCTTCCCCAACTATAGCCACTTGGAAAACTACTTATCCTTCAACACCCAGTTGAAGTATTTCTTTGTGAATCTCCCCTGACACCTCAAAACACAGTGGAAAACTACTTCCTTTCTGCTGCTTCCATACATACTTTTGCTACATCGGTCATCACGTGATGTAACTTCATGCCTGTCTTCTCTACCAGATTAGGACAGGAACTGACACACAGCAGGTGCTCACTAAGTGTCTATTAGAATGTCATAAGAGAATGAACTAATAGAGTGCAGTGTTCAAAGAAATCTCAAATATAACAAAAATCATTTCCTCTCTGGTCTTCATACGTTCAGTCATTGGTCAAGACTCCCTTGACAAGGGAGAAATGAGGCTTAGCTGAAAAAGCCATACGTGGAAAAGAAATGATTAGAGGACATTCACGGGTGTAAATCTTCCCTCGGCACTGCAGCATTATGCACTGCTGGAGTGACGACAGTCGCTCTCTAGTGCCACTCATTTTAACGACTGCCAACTTGCTATGACAGAAGTATACGCTAGGAACAAAAATCCATTGTAATTCCATCTGTGTCCCTTAGATTTGGGTTTAGACATTAAGAAACACTTCTTTCATTTCAAGCAATATTGAACTAATGAAATATTTATGATCAAGCAACTAACCATCAATATAGTACAGATCATCCTTAGGCCAGGCCAGAAGTGCAGGTATACATTCAGCAATGAATTTTTTCTTTTCTTCTTTTAACAAAAATGGACAGAGACTCTGAATGGTATGCAAATTACCTTCTGTTAGTGGAAAAAAACTGTTTAAAGAAAAGAAAACATATGAATTATATTTCATCTAAATATGCAGTTATTTTAAAAAATTCTTATTCAGACTGCTCAAAAAGACAATAATTCCACTATACAAAATAAACATAGAAAATAAAGCAAGAAACCAAGAAACTAAGACAACAGATTAACAATCTGATTCTGAATGATGAAACTGGTGCCTTTTTTCCCCTCTCCCCTTTCCTGTGAGCTTCAATTTTTTAAATAAGCATATATAACTTTTCCCTACGTACAAATTTTTTTAATTATACACACAATACTTGATTACACTCCTTAAGATTCAATTTAAAAAGCACTTTCTACGCGCTGATATTCACGTACGTGCCTATTTATGCTGTTAGGCCCCACTGAGTCGATCCCGACTCGCAGTGACCCCGTGTGACAGAGCACAACGCTCCACAGGGTTCCTAGGCTGTAATCGTTATGGAGGCAGATCTCAGGTCTCTTCTCCAACAGAGCCGCTGTGTGGGTTCAAACCGCCGACCTTCTGGTTAGCGCTTAACCATTGTGCCACCAGAAGCATATGTATATAAACAGGATCACACTAAACATACTGCCCTATGACACGCCACGTAGTGAAAATACACTTTGTAGATCTTCCCGTGTCAGGTGACACAGGTCTGTATCATTCTATTTTAAAGCTATTAACAAGGGGAAGAAATTCATTACAATTCGTACCATGAATGTATCATAATTTAACTATTTCTCTGTTAGCAAACATTTAGGTTTTCTCCAAATTTTTGCTCTTATACATAATGCTGCAATAAATGTCCTTCACAGATACTATCCTATATATATGCAAATATCTCTGCAGGTTAGATTCCTAGATATGGAGTTACAAAATCAAAAGATTTGCATAGACTAACAACACACTTAGGAGTCCCACGGTGGCGCAAATGGTTATGCTCTTGGACTACTGGTTGAAAGGCTGGCAGTTCAGACTCACCCAGAGACACCTCAGAAAACAGGCCTGGCCATCTGCTTCTGAAACGTCACAGCCTTGAAAACCCTACGGAGCAGTTCTACTCGGTACACATGGAGTCACCATGGGTCGGAATTAACCCGACGGCAACTAACAACATGTTCTGGTAACTTCAAACCACTCTCTGAAAAAAGCATGATCAATTTCTACTTTCACCAAAAAATGTGAACCTTTTTCACTCTTGGACGTATGGTGAATAAAAGATGCCTCTTTTAATCTGTACTTCTGTCATTACTGGTAGGAGCCTTGGTGGCGCAGTGGTTAAGTGTGTGGCTGCTAACCAAAAGGTCAGCAGTTCGAATCCACCAGCCATTCCTTGGAAACCCTATGGGGCAGTTCTACTCTGTCCACAGTGTCACTATGAGTCGGAATCAACTTGATGGCCATGGGTTTTTAGTCATATCCTTTCACCACTTCATCTACAAATTCCCTGCTCATATCCTTGACATATTTTTCGATCTGGATGCTTTAACTAATTTATAGAAGTTATTTACATATTCCAGATATTAATCCTATGTTAATTTGCAAATGTTTTCTCCCGTTTTGTCATTTGTCTCTTAACCTTTGCTTACTGAATTTTTGTCATAAAGTGGTTTTCATTTTTATTAAGACAAGCTTCTACCTTTTCCTTTATGGATTCTGGAATCTGCACTCTGCTCAAAGGCCTTCCTCTTTTTTCTCCCTCTAAGACTTTCACAGATTTGTCCTTTACATTTAGCTCCTTATGCGGACTTTATTTTTGTATAAAATGTAAGGGTGTGGAGGGTCTCCCTTACAATGCTAATGGTTTAAAATAAACATAAAATTCTTCATTTTTTCCTCATTTCCTTCAATTTCTACATTTTCTAAATCTTACATTCTTGATTTATTAGAGTTGTTCTTTAGTCAGGGGTTATACCAAGGTGACCAATTAAACTAAATTACACAGTAAAAGCATTTTAAACAAGAATACCTGTCTTCTGAATTCCTATAATGATGTTTTACGTCCTCAGATGTAATGCTTCCAGAGAAGACCAACTTAATGATGATAAGAGACCAAAGGGTGCCATTTGCTTTGGATCTAAAAATGAAAAATTATTTTCTGTTTTAAAAGAGTACTTAATAAGACTTTGTACACTGGGTATCTGGATTCCTTTTACAGAATTAATTAAATCACCAACTAAGAGGTCAACTCACCCAAGATATCTGTACCAAAGCAACTGCCATTACCCAAAGGCTTGGGAGTTTGGGCTTTTGCTATTCCTTCACAACTGGTATTGAGCTCTCACTCCAAGGCAATTCCATAGCCCTCAAATCCTAACAGGGGAGCTGACCTTAAAGAGGACCAGTAGCTACAGCTGGGAAAGGACAGAGCCCATAGGAAAACCAGAATGGCTGAAGTTGAAGAACCATGGGGGTACAAGCATCCACTGGGAAAGTTGTGAGTGTCAGGTACATGGGAGTGGGATTGGGTCCTCTGATGCTGCAAAGTATGGTAAAAACACTATAGGGCAAATAATAAACTCTTTAAAAGACAGAAGGTAAACACAAGTAATTTCAAGAAGCTAACTGCCAGGAAGAAAGGCTTGGCAATCTACTTCGGAAAATCAGCCAGTGAAAACTCCGTGTATCACAACGGTCTGAGCCCGTTGTGCGTGCGGTCACCGTGAGTTGGGGGCTGACTTGAGGGCAGCTAACAATAACAATCATGAAAATAAATTTTAAAAAAACCTAACTGCTATATAACCTCATAAGGACTTCATTTCATACATACTTCCTCATCCAGGGAAATGGGTTCTGTACTTATATCAGGACATGCTCCTGGTGGCACAGTGGTTAAGAACTATGGCAAGCTACGGCTGCTAACCAAAAGGTTGGCAGTTCAAATCTACCAGCCGCTCCTTGGAAACCCTATGGGTCAGGTCCACCCTGCCCTATAGGGTTGCTATGAGTTGGAATCAACTCGACGTCAACGGTTTGGGTTTTTTTGGAGTTAGAGCAACATGCAGGGTTGAATTTGAGAGCATGAGGAGGATGGGTTACAGATAAAAATTAAAACAACTTCCACACCATCTATTTCTTTTACCCTCATCTGTCCCTGAATGTATAATACATAAATTATACGGTACATTTATAAATATATTATTACAATAATTTACATTTATAATACATTAGCACTATTATACATATATTAATACATCAAATTATACATATTTATAAAATGCATTAAATGTATTTTATAAATATATTATAAACATAAATTACAATATATTTACACTACTAACATTTATAATACGTTAAAAGATACTATACATTTATAATTCATAATTTATGTTTATAAGACATAATTTACAATACATTTACATGTAAATGCATAATATGTAAGTACATTTATATATTACAGTAAGACAAAGCCCAAACACCTCCCCTGAAGAGTAAATCACATACTCAGTAGCCACAAAGTGTGTCTCAGCAAGAAACAAAGATTAACTTAGACCAACTCTTTGAGTCACGAGAAGCATTTGAAGTGGGCTTGTATCTTACAAAAGTCAAAGCCATAAACAAGCAAAATACTCATAAAAACTGAAAACTGCAAGGGAGTCTCACCTGCTAAATATCAGTTTCAGAAGGCCAGAAGTATCACCAAGTGCACACAAGTGACGGTACGTGATATTCATTCTCTGAAGCATTTCACAGAACTCGGTCAGAAAAGCAGGCGGGTTGTCCAGTTCTTCACACCACTGCAGGGAATAGAGCAGCTCTGCAACTAACACAATGACAGCACCAGGTTTCAGGTGTGCTTTGTGGACAAGCCTACAATCGCTCACACTTCTCCGCTCGCTCTCAGGGTTCCGCCCCATCATCTAACACTGCCACGCCCAGTCATCGCAAAACAGCCTTGAGTGTTCAGTGATAATGAAAACTGAGAATACTCGCCTGATACGAAATACCACCCTCTCCCAAATCTCACTTGGTCTCTTCCGACTAGTTAAGAATGTGACAGGGACCTAAGTCATTGGAGACACTGGAGGAATCCTTCTAGCGCCTCCACCACAACTGGTAAGAGGCTGCATACAGGATAAACAACTGAGCGGCCCAAGACCTGGGATGAGAAGCTCATGCTGACGTGGCAGGAAACGGGTCACAGCGTGATACAGTAAAGGGCATGGGCCCTGGAGAGACTGCCTGGGCTCAGATCTGCGTTCTGCCGTGAGCTGTACACACGGTTACCAATAGGACACTAAAACCTACCTCACAGGACTGTGGTAAGAATTAAACGACAAAGAGTCTACCGCAAAACCTTACAGATGGTAGGTTTTTAATTCATAACCAGTCACAAGCCCCCTTTATTAAGTTATACATGGGTTTTGAAGTCATTAGATCCGAGACTTGGTTCAAAATCGAAGGCTGTCCCCCATAAGCCCAGTAACTCTGACCGATCAAGGTAAGAAAAACAATGTCTGATGTAAAGGACTGATGAGAAGGCTAAATAATACTGTCAGTTTGTAATTAGTAGCACAATTAATGAGAATAAATGATTACAATGACTGATTTCCATTTTTATGTTTGGAGGGAGTCTCTCCATGAGCTCATCTCTTTGCCCTTGACAGAATGTGGACCTGGCTGACGAAAAGAGCTACTTCAGTTTTCAGCCTTCTTTCAAATGACAATAAGCAGTAACTGTTAGAGCCAAGGGCTTAGAAAAAAAGATTGACACAGGATTTATGCAACACCTCTACTTTTCACAGTATCTTGCTACCTACAATTCTAAGCCATTTCCTAGAATGGGGGGGAATCATGGCAATTCCACGTGCATCAGAGTAGAACTGTGTGCCGCTTCGGGTTTACAATGACTTTGTCAGAAGCAGATCCCCGGGCCTCTCTTCCAAGGCACTTCTGGGTGGATTCGAACTGCCAACCTTTAGTTAGCAGCCAAGCTTGCACCACCCAGAGACTCCAAATCTTCTTAGGATTTCAACATATGAACCTCCCATTTACCAGGGAAAAAAAATCATAGCCCTATGAATATAAAGATTTAGTGGTTCCGAAAAATCAACTGAAAATTCAGAATCCTCAGTCAAATACCGGAGTCTCATTTCATCTTTTTTTTAGGGTATGTCCCATGAGCTCTGTGTATACCGACATCATTCCAGTCTGAGTAAGTGGTCTTCTGTCAAATTATGCTCTACAGCTAACAAGATTATAGCAAGGTTTCTGTATGTTTTCAACTGATTTGCAATTTAACATCGCTTGAGTGACCTCAAATTCCCCATCTCAAGAACAGTTAACAGAAAGCTAAAGATTCTTGAGTTAAAGATTTAAATTGCAGTGTGATCAAACCTATTTAAAAACTATATTCATTCATACATCACTTTATATCTGAGTACCCATATATACTTACTTATTTTCACAAGCTCATTGTTTTCTAGGACTACCTCCTTTTTCAGTGCAACTAACATCATTTTGCTCAGTAAAGCTGAAGTACACAAATGGCTGGGAAGGGTCTTTATATCTTCTTCCTTACATTCTGTTTGGAAACACTCATGATTCAAACTCAGTCTTCCTTCTAAAAGAGGCCTGTGCAACCACTGTATAAAGAAAACAAGAAATTGCATACAAAATCATTAGATATTCTGAATTATTTACTACCTAAGCTACTCAGACTAAGAACAAAAATGAAGTTATGAAAATATCTACTTTATTAGTAAAAACCACAGAAACCTGTTTGGTCTCTACTACAGGGAACTATCAACATGTGTATTTGTTTAAGAGTCTTTAAAGACAGAAATTTTGTTCACTGTTGTACCATGGGTCCTGCCAGCATCTACTGATGCCCTGCAAAGAACAAACACGGAATATACGAGCATTCAGAGACATAAAGGCAAGCACAACACTCATTTCACGTCCTTTTTTTCTTCCCCAGGATGAAATAAAAAGCATCTGGGCTTACATGAAATCCAAACATCAGAATGAACTATGCATTCATTCATCCCAAACGTACCTGCATAGGAAGGGACTGTCTCATCTGCCCCCATTCACTGTCGTTTGGCATAACACTTCCAATACAAACCCCCAGAAGGTCAGTATCTTTACTCTCGAGCAGCTTATTCAGGAAATCATCAACAGCAGACAAGAGGACCTGGAGACTGGAAATAATGAAAAGAACTTACTGTTGTGGTTATGCTGTGACTAATCTGAGCACCTCTCATACACATTAGCTACCCTATGGCAGATAATAGCCCAATGAACAAGGAGACAGGCATAAACAGACACACACACACACACACAGACACATACACTGAGTTGGATCTGGGATTTAATCGAACGATTATGATTAGAAATTGAGTGCTGCTTCTATCTCAAAATGAAGGGGATGTGCCATAAAACAAAATGAGACTAATGGGGCACAACAGCCCAGGGACAAGGACTAGAAGACAGAAGGGGACAGGAAAGCTGGTAATAGGGAACCCAAGGTCGAGAAGGGAGTGTGTTGACATGTTGTGGGGTGGTTAACCAATGTCATGAAACAATATGTGTACTAACTGTTTAATGAGAAACTACTTGTTCTGTAAACGCTCATCTAAAGTACAATAAAAAAAAAATAATAATCTGAAGGGGACGTGGCCGTTTCAGATTAGTTATCTCTGAACTATAGCTACCTTACTCTAAAAGAAAAGAGTATGATGATCAAAAACAGATTTAACCTAATTTCAACAGCCTCTGAGTGTATACTCTCAGGTTTCACTTTTACAGGTATTTAAGTAAAAAAAAAAAAAAAAAAGGAAGGAAGAAAGAAAGAAAAAAAAGTGAAACTCATTTGCAATTCAACTTTACAACAGTAAACACCTGACCCAAAAACAACCAACCGAGAACAACCGCTACGCGTGGTAGCCAGTGAGAGGTTACGGTTACAATCCACACCTGTCTCCGCCGCCATCACATCACTGACCATAAGCCAATCAGGAGTCCAGCAGAGTGTGTTATAACAAACCATTCTTCAATCAAGTGACCGTTTAGATTTAGATGGGTGACCATCAAAATAAACTCCTTTTGGAAAAACTGGGTTGTGCGGACCTTCTTTTGAATTTCCATGGATCTCTCACATAACAAGCCATTTTTCATAGGTGCTCACACAGATCACAGACTCTTACTTAAGGACGGTGATCAAACAGAAGACACTGCAACCGCACACAAAACAAGGTTACCTTCTGACATCCAAAGACGAAGACTGAACTTGGTTCTTGAGCCAAACAGCAGACAGACGTAGGAAGGAACTCTGTTTATATGTACTGTCAACGTGATGGACCAAGAAATTTACACCAGACAGCCAGGTGTTTTTCAGTTTACAGATAAGAGAGTCTAAAATCAAGATATCAACAGGAATTTGTAATCCCAATGAATTAACTCTCATCAGTACAGATGTCTGAAAGAACTCATTGCAGATGTGAGATTTTTAAGACATCATTTAAAAAAGAAAACACACAATTGATATTCAATTGCCAAAACTAAATAACTGTGGCATAAGCATGCAATAAAGATTTTAAAAGTTAACTTTTTTCCTGCTCTGAGCTTACTTACAAAAGTTATCCTTTCAGAGATGAGAAAAGTTATACCTTTTCCAAATAGAGAAGTTAATATTAAAGAAAGGGCTGGAAAAAGAGGGTTCTCTATCAATACTATTTTTTTGTATTCCTTTCATAAATAAGGAGCCCTGGTGGTGAAGTGGTTAAGCACTCAGCTGCTAACGGAAAGACCGGTAGTTCAAATCCACCAGCTGCTCTGCGGGAGAAAGCTGTGGCAGTCTGCTTCCATAAAGATTACAGGCTTGGTAACCCTGTGGGGCAGTTCTACTCTGTCCTATAGGGTTGCTATGAGTCTGAATCAACTCAGCGGCAGTGGGTTCGGTGGGTTTTGGTTCCATAAATAAGTCTGAATTAACATATAACGACAAGAATAAACCCAAAACCCGCTGCCATTGAGTCAATCCCGACTCATTGCAACCCTACAGGACAGAACAGAAATGCCCCATGGAGATTCCAAGGAGCGCCCGGTGGATTCGAACTGCCGACCTTTTGGTTAACAACCACAGCAGTTAACCACTATGCCACCAGGGTTTCCAGGACAAGAAAACAGTTCTCAGAAAGGCAACGTTAATTTCATTTAGACATGCCAAGACTGAATGTTTTTAACTATAAAACAAAGAAAGAGAGATCATTGTCCCCCTTTTATAAATGAGGAAACTGAGGCATTACAAAACCTGCCAGAACTACTGAGCGGAGGGGCTGAGATTCCAATTCATCCATCATGGCCCCTTCCCAAAGTATTGCCCTGATATCAAGTAAGAACTTTAGACGTTAACACCTATACACATCTTTAATGTGGTTTCTAAAGCTGAAAGCGTATAGGATTTGTAACCCTTAAAGCACTTTAAACGTCCACACAGTTGTTAAACCAGCACACCGACAGTCACTATGATGGTCAGAACCAGAGCTTCCCAACAAACCATCCGAGTAGCAGGCCATTACCTGGTAAATGTGTTCTTTCTTTGCTCTGAGCACACAACTGAAAGAGAGTTAGTAACAAATCCTCAGACGACGGCATGAGCAAACGTCCTTTCGCTGAGCTGAAGTAATTACAGGCCACATCACAGACACGAGACACCGATGAGCGGCTATTCTCAGCTTCTGACAGTGTCTTTGTTTTGGATAAAGTTTCATGAAGTTTAACAATAATTCTTTCAACATATACTTCTCCAATCAAGTAATCTAGAGGAAAAAAAAGTTCAAACAGACAAAAAATGAAAAGTATTAACTGCATTTTTTACATTTCATTTTTATCGTGATAAAAATATTAAGAAAACGTGCTATTTCAATCATCTTCACATGGACAGTTTGGTGACATTAATGTTCACCATGTTGTTCAACCATCACTATGGGTGGTTCCTGAATTTTTCCATCACCCTTTACAGATGCTCAGCGTCCCCTAAGCACTGTCTTCTCTTCCCCTTCCCTCCTGCCCGTCCCAGGTAACTATTAATAAACTGTGATCTCTACACAGTTGCCTGTTCTAGACTTTTCAAATAAGTAGAATCGTACAATATCTGTCCTTTTATGACTGTCTTATTTCATTCAGCATAAGTCTTCATGTTAACAGTACATTTTTGAATGTTAACAGTACCTTACTTTCATGTTAACAGTACATTTCATGTTAATAGTACCTTACTTTGGATTAATAACCATTTCGGTTTTTCCATATTTTTTTAAAGGCATTTATGTTTTAGACAAAAGACAATCATAACCACAAAGCCACTTGTTCTGTCACACATAAAAGCTCTTAGGTAAAAAAGTAGTTTTAAATAAAAAAAGAGCAATACTTTACAAAATGAGAATAAGGACCTCAACTAAATTCAAAACCCTTTAGTAGAATATAAAGCTAAAAACATTATGTATCATTCCCAAGATTAATAAACATTTAGTGTGTTTACAAAATTAAGACATTTGCATCAACCAAGTCATGTTATTCTCATCAATAATCTGCAAGCTAAGCATTATGGAATCCCCCACTACATTATTCCCTACTAGATACCAAAAGCCATAATTTTGCCTACCATTTTCAATATGCTGGGATAATACCAAGCTTAGAAGGGTCCATCTTTCTGAGAAGTAAGATTCTGAAGATACTGTGGATTCCAAGCCCATATTACATAGGTGATCTGCCAAGTTTACCAATTTCTCTCCAAGGATATCTCCTTTTAGCCAAAGACTTACTAAAGCATGTTTATCTGAACTAGAACATGACTAAAAACATAAAAATTAAAGCAAAATTAGAAACAGAATGGAAAAGTAATCTGCTCAAAATATTACTGTATTACCTCTCTTCATCTCTGTGGTCCCAACAACACTATTCCCAACTCCTCCTCCTCAAGTTATAGGAAGCCTAGTATCCTTCCTGTTCCCCGCTTGCTGCTGTTGTTGTTAGGTATCGTCCAGTCGGTTTTAACTCACAGCAACCCCATGACAGAGTAAAACCACCCCATAGGGTTTTTTAGGCTGTAACCTTTACAGGAACAGATCACCAGGTCTTTCCCCGCAGAGCCACTGGATGGGTTCGCACCACTAACCTTTCGGTTAGCAGCCGACTGCTTATTAGCCTTGCTGATGTCCACTTCCATGCTTTGCTCAGGCTATCTTCGCTACCATAAATATCCCTTCTTCTTTACTTATCAAAACCCCATCCATACTTTGAGAATCAATCAGTACAAATCCCACCTGCTTCGTGAAGTATTCCCCAACTACTCGAGCCTACGCTGATCACTGCTTTCCTCTGACTTTCTACAGCACTTACTCCACTGTATTATTTAAATGTTTCATCTGTGTGTGTGTCTTGTCTTTCCAAGGAGATTGCAAATCCTTTAGGGCGGGGATTGTCTTAAACTTCTTGGATACCTGCTATCAACACTGTAGATATGTTCAAGGAATAATGAATGGATGAACTTTGAAGACAGATTTACTAATGCTCCATAAATATTAAATTTTTGTTCAATAGTTTTGCTAAAATTAAAGAACAATTAATTTTGGTAAGTTGCTCCAATGTGAACAACGGGACATTATTTCCCCAGATTCTCTGAAATAAAGTTGCTGGGGCCAGGTATCTGACTGCAACTGGTTTATTTTCATGGGGTGGGAGGCAAAGGAAAAAAAAAGTTGTAAATCCATCCCCAAAAGCATGCTGATCCATATTCCCAGAGCTTCTTTTGCTTTAAGGGATGAGAAGAAAGGAATTTGCAACTTGGTTCATCTCAAAGCAATCTGGAAAAAAAAGAAATCCAAGTGCAGATTGGGTAGTAACTAAAAAACTGCTTATCTTTTTATTTTTTTAAAAAAAAAGTAGGTAACCAGAGCTTCTATTTCAGCCCAAGCTTTCCCACTAAACTATCGTTGTGATCTTGGACATATCCCTTAACCAACCTGGGAATGAAAAGGTTAACCCAGAAAGACTCTCTGAGGTCCTTTTCTGGTTCTAAAATTCAGGTTTGTTTTTTTCGTTCTTTTTAAAGATGCTGACTTTAGGGCTCTGCTCTTAAACTATCAGGTTGCATAAATACCAGAAAAACTATCGTTTAGAGGGGTTTAATACTGGCTTCTCTAAAATAGTTCAGCAAAACGAAAATCAATCTATTCTACAGAATCCTGGCAGAGAAAATAAACTAATCAACTAAACATCTCTCAGGTTAGCAGACATGAAGTTTAACTTCTCAATGTATTAACACATCTAAGAAAAAGAATCTGTCCAGGGGCTGAGGAGGGATCCTCACTCCTGGTAGTAGAGGAGGAACACACCACAGACTTGCACACACTAACTGGGAAGAGAATATTCTTCCAAGAAGCATCTGCACCACCTAACAGGCACACTCCTAAGCTGGAAACAGATATATCCGTCTACTTTTATAAAATGAACTCCCCTTGCTCTAATTACAGGCTTCCCCAGCAGCCTTCTGATTTGGCTTTTCATGCAGCTTGCCTACAGGTCGAGAAGGTACTGGACGGTAATACTAACACAAAGGGTGTGCTTGATGATTACAGTTCTCGTTGAAAAATACCAACGTTCTGCATGTATTTTGGAAAAATAAACTTGTAAATTAAAAAAGTTATCTTGCTATGTAAAATAGAAAAATAATTTTTCAAAATGCGAAAAAGAAGAAACGAACACAGGAAGAATTTTACACAGCTGGTCAACATTAGATAAAGTTTACTTTTAGTTATATCATTTACATCTTCATTAGAAAACAATATGTAAGCCATATTTTAAAATTATCTAAACTGTTTATGATCCTTGATTTCCTTTTATTATTCTTACCACTAATTTTCTTATTTAGTCAAGTGGCAATCATAAAAAGGCTGGGAAGACTTTAACGTGTCTGCCTGGTATTCCAAAGTAACCCACTGCTGTCGAGTCAATTCCGACTCACAGCAACCCTAAAGGACAGAGAAGAAGTGCCCCGCAGTTTCTAAGGAGCTGCTGGTGGATTTGAACTGCGGACCTTTTGGTTAGCAGCTGAGCTCTTAACCACTATGCCACCAGGGCTCCATTTCAGAGTAGGGCAATCTTAATTTCCTGATACTCTCTAGCCAAAGCTAGAACCAGTCAATTTCTACAGAAGAAAAAGTAACTAGGATAAGAGTTGAAATCTGTGGCCTTAGTTTCGAAGAAAATAAAATATTTAACTCGCCCTATGTTACCTGCTAGGAAAGGAACACTCGATTTCCCAAAGCCTGTTTATTCTTCCTCAATAATCCTAACCAGAAAAACACAACCACAGGAAAGCAAATACCCAGTGTTTTCCCAAATCATGGGAAGAAAATTACAATAAAAAAGAAGGTATTTAATATAGACCCCTGATCACATACTAGTTGTGAATACAACTGTGGTTTTAATTTTTCTATACCCATAAATACAAACAAACAAAAATTTCTTTAAGATACCTTTTCAATAACCTGAAGAAGAGAATCCCATTTCAGCTCCACCTGAAAGGTGAAAAAGAGTCAGAAACAATCTGCTAAAAGGAATAATAAAAATTTTATAACGTAACTAATGTGACCATGGAACCAATAGAAAACTAAAACCTTTTTAGCCAGGTACTACTTAAGAAGTGTGGACTGATGAGAAACTATTTGTTCTGTAAGCCTTCACCTGAAGTACAATAAAAAAAAAAAAAAGTGTGGACTGAAAGCCTCACCCATTTATTACCAAGCTTTTGTCGTCTTAAGGCACTTACTGAACGTCTTAACGCACCTACCCAGCAATCTCAGACACTTCCCAAACCACAGGAATGCACTGCTTATCTTTAAATTGAGTCTCAGTCAAGAAACAATCCAAACACTGTTTAACAAAAACCTAGTTTGCTCTATAAACCTTCACTAAAGAACAATAAAAAATAAAAAAAAGAAACAATCCAAAATCGACCCCCATGAAAATCTCATTCTACTGAGATTCTAGTTTAAAACGCTATTACAACAGTAATACCTCCGTTAAATCATCCAAGACATCTTTCCTTTCCATATTACTGTCACAGCAGCGGAGAGCACTGTATAAAATGTCCACGAGGAAACCAGCATCCTTCTTCTGATCTTCATTTAGCCAACCGAGTAGCTTCTGGTATAAAAACTGCACCGCAGGATTTTTCTGTGCAAGTTTAGCTATTTCAAGAGTTTTACCTTTGCCGATACTCTGTTTCTCATCACCTAGTAGCACTTTAAACACCTGGCTGGAAGAGAAGGTGCTGAGCAGAGTGGAAAGAAACTTCAGGTGTTGCTCTGATGTTTGTTCAGTGATGTAATTAATGCTCATCTTTGCTAGTTTGCAGACTAAGTCTTCCAAAGGCTTTTTCCTTAGAGGAGATATGAGGTCTGAAAGATCCTGAGTGAGAGGTTCAGTAACTAATTCAGAGCCTTCACTGTTCTCTCCTTCTGAAGATACACCTTTTTCATTCTTTTTATTACTTTCAGAGATCTCATCAGCAAATCTAACCTTACCAACTTTTTTCTTGTTGGACTTCAATGCACTCTTCGGCTTCTGGAGAACCTCTAACAAGCTAGATACACCCAGAACAGACGTACTATCAGCTTCTGGCTCATTAATTTTCTCCATGCAGACCTCTGACAGTCTCTCCCAGAAATTTAACAGCACTTTCTCCAAGTTGTGAGCCATTTTATCACCCCTTTCCATATCTGCCTTGCTTTCCCAGGAACTTAAAGTTTCGGCTAAATGGTGAAATAGTTGCCCGTTTTGCAATCTTGGCTCTTTGAGAACTGCATCGACAAAAGGGATCAACTGAAAGAGATGATATAAAATATGAAAAATCTGTTCTTGAGAAAAATAATAAACAAGATATCTGTAAGACACCAAAATTTCGTATTATTTAATAACTAAAAAACGTGAGTTTTACCCTAGAATTCTGCAAACACTTAACATGAAGATCCCTCTCACATCCTATAAAGAGCTTAATGACTTAACTGCGTTCCATCTGAATTACTTCTTTTATTGCTATAACTGACAAAGATTCTTGGTCATTAACAAATAATTCAGTTTTCTTTGCATCTTCTGAGCTTATACAAGTTTTTTGCTTTTCTGCCTTATACCAGTTGCTGTCAAGTTAACTGCAATTCGTGGCAACCCCATGTGCACCAGAGTAGAACTGTGCTCCGTAGGGCTTACAACGGCTGCTTTCTCAGAAACAGATCACCAGGCCAATCTACCAAGGTACCTCTGGGTAGACCGGAACCTCCAACCTGTCGGTTAGGAGCCGAGAGCTTTAACCATCCACACCACCGAGGGGAAACCTAAGATAGGATTTAAGCCAATATGAACAACAGAATTCAGAGCCCTGTCTCTTAAATTACAAATACAAGAAAAGTTAACCATCGACTAGGATCTGGGCTTCTATACTCTCATTAATTAACTTGCTACTATAATGGACCAAGGAGTCCTGGTGGCACAGTGGTTAAGAGCAACAGCTGCTAACCAAAAGGTAGGCAGTTTGAATCCACCAGCCGCTCCTTGGAAACCCTATGGGGCAGTTCTACTCTGTCCTATAGGGTTGCTATGAGTCAGAATCAACTCAATAGCAGCCAGTTTGTTTTTTTAATTTATAATGGACCATATTCCAGAACCTGGTCATCAATGATTCTAAAATCAAACCTAATTATTCTCAGAAGGATAACTGTACTTCAGTATTTCAGAATAAAATGTTTATTGCACAAATCTGAATTTAAAAAGATGACAAATAACATCTTCCAAACTGTTTTGCATTGCATCTCCCTAAAGTAACCAGAGTTTTTACACCCGGAGATTGATCAGTCCTCAGGCATGACACTATGCTAACAACTGACTGCATGGAATTTTAATTTACCCGGCTAGAAATACACACTACTCAATTTATACACTATACCTGTGAAATGTTCACAAGGAATGCTAATTAATGAAAATGGCAACAGAACGCAATGAGCTGGATTCTTCATAGTCGCAGGACAAAGGCACTGCCGACCTTCACGTTATAAATACCTGATCGTTGACGAGCATCTGTTCCATCTCTTCCTCACCTAAGTTCTGCTGCATTATAAAACGCAGGCACTCAAAAAAAGCAGCTACTATAGCTGAGCACTCTGAAAAGCTGGCTTTGATCCTCTCTGTTGACAGCCTAAGAAATAAGAAATACCTGTGGCTTACTCTTCCATGAAAAAAATAAGCAACTCAAATCACCAAAGTCACTCATGGAAAAGTGATTATGCCAAAAGAGGATATATTGTTTAAATAAAAATTTTCAACTAAAAACTAATTAACAAACAACCTAATATGATTGGACTATAAACTGGAAGAACTGTGAAAAAAAAACTTATTTTCAAAAATGTTTTAGCAAAGCCCCGTAAAACCAAATGAGACTAACGAGGTACAGGAGTCCAGTGACAAGGGCCAGAAGGCAGAAGGGGACAAGGAAGCTGGTGATAGGGAACACAAGGTTGAGTAAGAATATTGTTGATGTGTTGTGAGATTGTTAACCATTGTCATAGGGCAACATTTGTAGTAACTGTTAAATGAGAAACTATTTTGTTCTGTAAGCCTTCATCTTAAGTGAGAATAACAGCACAATTGGAAGAGCATAGTCAATGTCACTGAACTGTGTATGTAGAAATTTTTGAAACGGTGTATCTTTGGCTATGTGTATTTTCACAAAAAAAAAAAAAAAAAAAAGGTTGAGAATTTAGAGGGTTAATATGTTGTGGGGTTGTTAACCAATGTCATAAAACAACATGTGTACTACTGTTTCATGAAAAACTATTTGTTCTGTAAGCCTTCACCTGAAGTACAATAAAATATATTAAAAAAAAAAAAAGTTTTAGCAAAGCAAAAGGTATTTCCTATCTATCCACCTACAAGCTTGAAAGACAGGACTTAATCAAATAAAGATAACAGTGTAGTAGAAAAAAAACTTAATCATTAATAAAATCGTGCATCTTTTATTATGTTCAATAAAATACACCTAAATAATTCATGTGTAAATTTAAACAGCTATTATATTTAACCTGATGGAAGTTAAAGTTTCACTGGCTTATCTTCTGTATTTGAGTTATTTGTATATGTCAAAATACAAAAGAATGACTCATTTGAAAAGTGGCCTATTTCCACCTATGGGTCTTACCACAGTTATCTAACTCTCTCCTGATATACCACTGAAGCCTTGATCCAAGGAAAGAATTAAAATTGCAATTCCCTGAAATTTTTCAAGCATTTAGTGAAGAGCAAAACAATTTAGGGAAATATAAATAAGGAAGATGATGGTAAGTGTGTCATCCTACCATTTATGGCAACAAGAAAATCCCTTCTGCTTTAAAAATTGAGAATTTAACTTCCTTACCCTGTAACTAGAGAGGTGAGGAAATTTTTGAAGAAGTCCAACTTTGGATCTGTAATGGACTGAGGGAGTTTGCTGATAAATGGCAGAAGGTAAGGATATATAACAGTGGCCAGGCCCCGACCACCTTCACGAACCACAGCTGACAGCTTGGGAAACACACTTTTCTTTGCATTTACATGAGTCCAACAGTCCTAAACAAAGAAGACAGTACAAAAGTAATTAGAAATCATGAAACTTACTTATCCCAATTAAGAGAAAAAAACGTGGGCTCTCAAAAAATAAAAATCAATTATTTTTACCCTGAGAGTCTATAATCTCTCAGCACCATTAAAAACTAAAACTCTGAAATTATAAGAAATATATTACATACAGTATTCATGTATTCCACATGCTTATGGGACAATATTGGTCAGAAATCATTCTGTGATTTAGAAAATTCCTATCACACGTGCTTTCTGAAAGTGATTTTAATCTTAAATACAAGATTCAGATATGCTAATTGTAGTGGGCCACATATGGTTTAAATAATAATTATTACTAGCTAAACAGAAAAAATGAAATAAAAGTTTTATGCCATTTTATACGCAGTTTAAGATTTATGCAAGTTTTAAATTAAATATTTTATTTCCAAGAAAGCATTTTTCCAGTAAGTATCGGAGACTATAATCTGATAGCCCCTCCCTTACGTGACATGTAGGGCTTCTAAAATTCAACCAAGGAAACAAGTACTCCAAAGTGTACTAAATGTACCTCTCTAACATACCTCGATAGTTGTAAGCGTATAAAGGACAGCTTCCCAGAGAGCTGGGCATACAACAGGGTCACTATCATCAATGCTAAGCAGAACAGATGGGCTCACTTTGGATGCTTCATCTTTCATCAACCATGGAATTCGCTGGCACAAAGCAGAAACTAATTCAAAATAAGCTGAGCGGATCTAAAAGAAGAAATGGAAAGCTGAATTAAATTGAAGCCTAAATAAAATGCACCTAAATAATTTAAGTAAAGCTATGATTCACCACCTCTCTGTCAGCTGGTCGTACCATGGGGGCTGTGTGTTGCTATGATGCTGGAAGTTGTGCCACCAGTATTTCAAATACCATCAGGCTCATCCATGGTAGACAGGTTTAGCAGAACTTCCAGACTAAAACACACTAGGAAGAAAGGCCTGGTGATCTACTTCTAAAAATCAGCCAATGAAAACCTTCTGGATCACAACAGAATACTGCCTGATACAGTGCTGGAAAATGAGCCCCCTTTAGGTTGGAGCCCTGGTGGCGCAGTGAGTAAGAGCTCGGCTGCTAACCAAAAGGTCAACAGTTCGAATCCACCAATTGCTCCCTGGAAGCCCTATGGGGCAGTTCTACTCTGTCCTATAGGGTCGCTATGAGTCAGAATCAACTCAACGGCGACAGGTTTTTCGGTTTTAGGTTGGAAGGCACTACACAATAGGCACAACAATGGACTCAAACACACCAATGATTATGAAGATGGGCAGGACCAGACAACTTCATTCTGTTATACATACAGTCACCATGAATCGGAGCCAACCTGGTGAAAACTAACAACAAAGCTATGACAAGGCATTTTATGTAGGGTAATGGCGGATGGGTTATTGGGACTAATCTTCCAACAGTAACACTAAAAGAGGTTAGAAAAAATATTTTAAAAATCTTCTTAGGAGCATCAAAATGGCTAAAAAGACATTAGGAATTACCAGGCCAAAAGTGAAAGCAGAAAGAATTAATTCAACTTTCTATATCTTTTGCTGAAGCAAACAGAAAACCTCTCTAGAAGCAGAATCCTTCACTTCGGTCTGAAATGATTCCTACCAGTACGGTGGCCAGCACAAAGTCAGATATAACCACAAACATAAAAAATAAGACACCATGAGACAAGACCAGCAAAAACAAAAGACAACACGGAGATCTAAGACTTTAAATTTTATAACTGTCGGTTATAAAATCCATAACAATGCTTTTTATATTTAAAGAAATAAAAATTTAAAGACATCTGCAGGGAAACGATCCTAGAAAAGTATTTCATCGGCTATGCAAAAGAACCAAGCACAATTTCAAAACTGAAAGAAAAGAAAATTTAAAGTTCAATTCGCAGTTTAACAATTAGAAGCGGATGATGAGAGAATCGCTGCTCTGGGAGAGCGAGGAGAAGAATTATCCACAGAGCTGCCTGAAGAAACAAAATGATGAAAACCACCCAAGACAGCATAGGAGACATGCAGGACCGAGTGAGAAAGTTAACATATATTTAACCAGAATCCCAGAGGGTGAGAAGAGCAGTCATTGGGCAAAGGAAATATCTGAAGAGCTATAGCTAAGAATTTTGTAGAGCCAATCAATACTACAATCAACAGATTTAAGAATCCCAACAAATCCCAAAAAGGATACACAGAAGGAAATCCACACCGAGACACATCATGGTGCAACCGCAAAACCAAAAAGACAGAGAAAATCTTTGCCTAGCCAGAGGGAAAAGACAGATGACCTTCAAAGGAAGGACAGTCAGACTGACAGCTCACTTTCACAGTGACAATGTGAATCAGAAAACAGTGGAATATCTTCAAGAGACTGAAAGAAAATAACTGCCAACATGTCACCCTGTACCTCACAAAAAATATCTTTCAGGAATGAGCATAAAATTAAATATCTTCTGATTGTGCAAAAAAGAACGGACCGGTACCAAAAGAAATTCAAAAGGACATCCTCTGTACAGAAGGTAAACAATCCCAGATGGAAGGTAAGAAATGAAGAAAGGAATACAAAGCAAACAAAACAACAAATATGTAGGTGAATCTAAATGAAGACTGAGAATATAAGGCAATGTTCCGTGGGGTTAAAAAACATACCTACACATGTAACTCCACAGAATATTTTATTTATGTATATTTTATATAAACTATTACCAAATCAATATCAATGGTGTATTTAAAAAGACAAACACATAGAATGAGTAAGTATGTCTCTTCAATGCTAGGCAGCAAAATCATATGATCATATAAACAGATCAAAAAAAGCAATCAAGAAATTTTCAGCATTCATTCATGACATATAAATGCTCAGTAGTTCTCTCCTCAGAATAAAATTATGAAATTCTTGACCCAGATGAAATCTACAACAAACATCATACCTAACACCCAGAGTCTAGAACTTTTTCCATTCAAGTCAGGAACAAGAAAAGGATGACCACTAATCACCACTTCTACTCCACAAGGTACTGTTGTTGTTGTTATTATTGCTGTTGCTGTTAGGTGCCATCAAGTCGGTTCCAACTACTGCAACCCTACAGGACAGAACAGAACTATCCCACAGGGTTTCCAAGAAGCAGCTGGTAGATTCAAACTGCAGACCTTTTGATTAGCAGCTGAGCTCTCACCCACTGTGCCACCGGGGCTCCCTAGAGTACATAACCAACGCAAAAAAGACAAGAAAGGAAAAACAACGAAGAACTGGAAAGGAACTCATAACACTATCTGTAATTACAGCAAAATAATGGACTAGAAAGAATATTCAAAAAGATCTAAAGACAAATGATTAGAAACAATAGGAGTTTGGAAAAGCTGCTGGATATAAAATTCACACACAGAAGGGCAGCATTCCTAAACACCAGCAGAAACAAAATAGAAAATGTAATCAGAAAAGAAAGCCCATTTTACAATGCAACAAAAACCTACGTGTTTAATATTATAAAACATTACTTTAGGATACAAAGAACCTAGAATGGCCAAAACAATTTCGAAAAAGATCGAAGTTGGAGGATTTCAAGACTTACTAACTATAAAAGAACAATAATCAAGACACTGGGTATTGGTATAAGTACAGACATAGAGATCGATGAAACAGAATAAACAGTCCAAAATCAAAACTTCATCTACATGGTCAATGGAAGGAGCCCTGGTGGCGCAAGCTAGGTGCTCAGCTGCTAGCAGAAAGGTCGGTGGCTTGAACCCACCCAGTGGCTTCACAGAAGACCTGGCGATCTGCTTCCTTAAAGATTACAGCAAAAAGAACCTTATGGGGCAGTTCTACTCTGTTGCATGGAGTCGCTCTAAGTCGAAATCAACACGATGGTAACTAACAACAACAACAGTCAACAGAGTTTCGACAAAGGCACCAGCCAGGGTGAGGACAGTCTTTAAACAGACAGATACTCCTATGAAGAAAATAATAATTTTGACTCTTACCCTCACACCATACACAAAAATTAACTCTAAATGGATTACCCACCTAAACTGTAAAACTTCTAGATTTCTTAAGACACCAAAAGTATGAACTATAAAAGAAAAAAGTGATAAATTAGACTTCATCAAAATTAAAACTTCTACTCTTTCTAAACCATTAAGAAAATACAAAGGCAAGCCACAGACTGGAAGAAAATACTTATCTACTTTTATCTAACAAAATACTTGTACCCAAAATCCACAACATAACATTTATAATGTCCAAGATACAATCTAAAATTACTCCACATATAAAGAGGCAGGAAAATGTATCCCATCTCAAGGAATAAGACAGTTAACGGATGCCAACCCCAAGATGACCCCAATGTTACTTTCAGAAATAGAGTAGCTATTATCATTACACTCAATGATGTAAAGGAAAATATGGTAATAATGGAAAAACAGGTAATTTTATCAAAGAAACAGAAAATGTAAAAAAATAAAATTTTAGAAATAAAATACACAGTATATAAAATAAAAAATGAGTAAAAGATTTGAACAGATGCCTCACGAAAGGTATACAAATGGCCAATGCAAACAAAAACCAAACCCGCTGCCTTGGAGTCAATTCCAACTCCACAGGGTTTAAGGAGCAGCTGAATGGATTCGAACTGCTGACCTTCTGGTTAGCTGCTAAGCTCGTAACCACTGAGCATAAGCACATTAAAAGCTGCTCATCAGAGAAATGTGAACTAAAACCACAGTAAGAAACCTCTACCCCAGAGGGCAGCAAACATTTTCTATAAAGAACCAGAGAGTAACTATCTTAAGCTTGACAGGCCACTTAAGGGCTCTGTTGCAACTACTCAACTCTGCTTTGGAGCCCAAAGGCAGCTGCAGACAATTCCTAAAACTGGGTACAAGAACAGGTAGGCCAGATTTAAACCACGAGCTGTAGCTGCCCATCCCTGATCTCTACACCCGTGAGAACGACTTACAGTGACTGATAATCCCGAACGGGAGGAGATGGAGCAAGTGAACGTCTCTCACATTGCTGGTCTGAGTGTAAAACAGCACAGTTTGGTAGCCTGCTGTAAAGCTAAACACGTACTTACCATCAAAAAAAAAAAAAAAAAAAACACTGCCGTTGAGTCAATTCCGACTCATAGCAACATAGACCTTTTGGTTAGCAGCAGAACACTTAGGTGCTGTGCCACCAGGACAGTGTTCTGCTATTATGAATAAATCTGCTGTGAACATCTCTAAACAGTCTTTTTCTAAACACGTTTTCCTTTTTCTTGGGTAAATACATAGGAGAGGAATTAACGGGTGATATAGAACCCTAGTGGTGCAGTGGTTAAGAGTTCGGCTGCTAACCAAAACACTGGCAGTCCGAATCCATCAGCTGCTCCTGGGAAACTCTCTGGGGCAGTTCTACTCTGTCCTGCAGGGTCACTACAAGTGGGAATCAACTCAACAGCAATGGGTTTGGTTGGGTTTTTTTTATGGTAAGTATATAACCACAGGAGCCCTGGTGGCACAGTGGTTAAGAGAGCTTGGCTGCTAACCAAAACATCAGCAGCTGGAATCCACTAGGCGCTCCTTGGAAATCCTATGGGGCAGTCCTACTCTGTCCTATAGGGTCACTATGAGTCGGAACTGACCTGACGGCAATGGGTTTTTTATATAACCATATAGAACCGATGGGTTATATGGCTGTACACTTACCATATAACCTATCAATTCCTCTCCTCGGTGTTTACTCAAGAAAAAGGAAAACATGTGTCCAGAAAAAGACTGTTACAGATTTTCACAGCAGACTTACTCATATTAGCAAAAAACTAGAAACCCAAATGTTCATCAGAAGTGGATGGAAAAACAAATTGTGGAAAATCTATAAAATGAAACACTACTCAGCAATAAAAAAGAATGGAGTACTGACACACGCAACAACCTGAATCTTAAAACATCGCGGTGGAGGTGGAGAATGGAGAGGGCAAGAGACAAAAGGCAGAAAATAAATACACTGAGACCAGCAGTGCACACAACAATAATTTTAAGGTGCCACAAAGGGAGGAGTATGATCCTTCAACTCTGAACCTTAGGGCCAAACAGCTAACTAAGCATGTGAAAACAGAAAAATAGTCTAGTAAGAGAAATAATTTACTCTTGAATGACCCATCACTAAGATGTGCTTGCAGAGTTTCAAACATAACGCTAGACAAAAGCACAGGGAAAAAAATCAGAGAAATGTCTCAAAATAAAAAAAAGATTACAATACCTGAGGTATACTGTGTTTTCCATACTTCCAAAACTTGTTGTGTGATAAAAGAAACTTAAATTTCTCCTCCAGAGAATCAAGTTCATTATCAGGCAAGAGGCAAAGCAATTTCTTTAAGGCCAATAAGGAACAAGTTATAACTCGATAGAATTTAGCTTCTCTTTCTTCCTCTGGAACAGTTCTTGATGTTAAAAAAAAAAAGAAAGAAAAAAAATATATATAAGGATTGAGAATAAGTCAAACTATGTATTTGGCGCCTCTATGTTAAAGATTTTATCATTAAATATCTACCATAGTTGCTTTGAAATGACAAAACAAATATGATTTTTTAACATCACACTGCTTTATTCCTATCTTCTATTCCCGCTGCGCCAACTTCCCTCAAAATAGAGTTTTAATCACATATTTTACTACCAGTACAAGAGGAAAGTGGAAGAAAAGCCACAGCTTGAAGTAAGCGCACAAGGACATCGCTCTCGGTAGCAGATAACTGGGTTATTCTAGAGAAAGGATACCAACACATTTAAGATTATTGCCCCTTATGGGCTCTGAAAACTTTGTTTAGAACATAAGAGCAAATGTAAACAGAACATTCTGCTACTCTTTCAATAGAACTCTTAACGGCTCTTAACTACTTTCAACCAGATCTTAAGATGGTGCCTGCTATGACTGACAAGAGGTAAATCTGAAAAAGAAGAAGAAAAAAAAACTCTTTCTAAAAGAACCAAATGTGTATGTGTTAACTCCCAGATAACTGAAGTTACATAGCAGGACAATTTGCAAGTAAAAACCCTTAAAACAGCATGTATGCATAGCATTAAATCAAAAATTTCCATCTCTACATTCAGAATCTCTTCTTTAAAAAAAAAAAAAAAAAAGTCACACCAAAGTTAAACATCTGCTTATCTATACATGAAATCAATCGTCACCAGGAGCCACAGGGAAATAAATGACTTACTGGGGGTCACTGAGCGTGTCAGGTGTTTCTTTTAAAAGATGATCGTGAAGCACCTGGAGAAGGGAAAGAACTGGCAATGATGAACAGGTAGAGCACAGATAGGTTAAACCCATTAAAAATCCCCATAAACCTCGTCTTAGTCATCTAGCGCTGCTATAACACAAATACCACAAGTGGATGGTTTTAATGGAGAGAAGTTTATTTCCTTACAGTTAAAGTGGGCTAAAACTCCAAATTCAGGGCGTCAGCTCCAGGGGAAGGCTTTCTCTCTCTGTTGGCCTTCTTCTCTTCAGTGTTCCCCTGGACTAGGAGCTTCTCTGCGCAGGGACCCCGGTCCAAAGGACACGCTC